TGTCAGTAGTGGGACTGATGATGATGATGGTAATGAGGATGGCAAAGACGATGAAGATGGTGTAGATGATATTTTTGAAGATGTTAATGTTGGTGATGAAGATGGTGTGGATGATGATAAAGGCTGTGAGTTTGTTGATGATGGTAAGAATGAAGATGATGCAGAGGTTGCTGATAGTGAGGGCTGTGCTGATGGGGTTGATGATGATGACAATAGTGGGAAAGATAAAGATGGTGTTGATGATGATAAAGATGATGGTAATGTTAGTGATGAAGATGTTATAGATGATAGTGTTGTTGTTGTTGATGATGACGATGATGATGATAGTGGCACTGATGAAGATTGTGTTGAGTATGGTGAAGATGATGACAATTGTGTTTTTGATGGTATTGAAGATGGTGGTGATGATGACAATAGTGGGACAGGTGAAGATGTTGATAAAGTTGATAATGATATTAATGTTGGTGGTGATGAAGATGATGGTGATGAAGGCTGCAAGTTACCTGATGATGGTAAGGATGAAGAAGATGTTGTAGAGGCAGCTGATAGTGAGGGCTGTGCTGCTGGGGTTGATGATAAGGTTGTTAATGAGATCGTTGTGGTTGGTGATGATGATGTAGATGGTGGTATAGTTAAAGATTGTGAGGTTGATGAAGTTTGTGTTGAGCTTATTGCTGAAGATTGTGGCATTGAATATGACAATGGTGTGGATGATAATGTTGATTCTGCTGACACTGGTAAAGATGAAGAGTATTTTGTTGATGGTGTAGAAGATGAGGATGATGATGATGGTTTAATGGTTGGTGAGGATGATGACTGTGGTGATGATGGTGAGGTTGGCACTGAAAACTGTTGGAATGTTGGATGTGGCTGAAGTGATGAGGCTGTTGATGCTGTTTGTGAAAGTATTGATGGTATAGATGTTGAGTTTGGTGGTGAAGCTGGAAATATGGAATGGTGTGGGGGGAAAAATCCATTAGTCACTGAGTCTGATGCTGTTTGTTTAATCATTGAAAAAGACCAAACTGATTCAAGAAGGATTTAGTTTGGATATCATTATACATTTTGTAAAATTTCTTTGTAAGGCACAACAACCTACCACAAAAAAACTATACACCAGTACCTTTGTACATTTTGTCACTTCTTATGATGTACTGGCGAGTTTGATCAAGGTTGGAGCTAAACTCTGCAGTGCATTTGCCTTCCAGGGCAACCCTTACGAAAAATAAGTTTATTCAAGTGTGCTATTAGTATACTTTTTTTAAACTAAAAAAATAGGAAAGTATATGTTTAGTCTACTTTTTATGTACTTCTCAGAAATGGGTTTTATGTACTTCTCAGAAATATACTTAAAATTACATTTAAGTATACTTGACTTAGAAAACGTCTAAATATATTTGAGCTATACTTGTGTTCCTAGAATCCGTGTTTTCATTGTTATACTGTAGGGTGTGCTAGTACACATTTTCTGTACAGAATTTCCAAAAACACATGTAAAGAAGAAACCGAAACAACAGATGCTTCCACATGTAATCTAACACGATCATCAGACATAAAACAGCATCAAAACTGTGTAAAGTTGATGTAATGTCAACCCATGAAGAGGTAATAATGACTGTCAAGCTTTGGGGTGTTGATCGACTCTATCTACGTTTTGATTATCGTTCTGAATCCAATTCATAGTCTTTTTTTCAGCTTTTTGTTCAAAATGTTATTTCTTTTTTTATTATTATTTATGAAACTTACCCACATTCAAGTGATGCGACAAAATGTTTTTGTTTACAAGCAGATACTCCGTTCATTCTTTTGGTGTTTTGTATGTTCAGATATTTATATAACAAAATATATACAAATTAATACCTAAACAGGGACATAGTAGTATACTTAAAGTATGATGTAAAGTTCACTTAAAGAAAACTTACCAGTATACTTGCAGTATAATACTACTAAATTAGTAGTTTACTAAGACTATACTTCAAAGTGTACTAAAAATGCTACTACAAGTATTTAATTAGAAAATCAGTATTCGTATAAGTTCACTTTTAGTATAGTTGCAGTACAAGCTAAAAATATTGTTGTAAGCTAGTTGTTTACTTAAAGTTTACTACTGTTATACTTAAAGTATACTTAAAAGTATACTTTTATATACTAGAAAGTGGGCCAATTTAGTCCCAAGGAGTATTGAAATAGTACACTTACAAGTATACTACTAGTACACTGATATTTGTATACTTGCTACATAAAGTATACTTAAAAATACACTTGAACTTTACTTAAGTATACTTAATAAAATAAACTTGAAGTATACTACTTTTTGGTAAGGGAAGATTTGCGGAACCCTGTTCTATGACATTGAAGAGATTTGGCCCCAGGCTGTTTTTAAACAATTCTTTTATTATTTTTTTTATTGTTAACCTACATTACTTTATCTCGAATTTGAATGCAAAATAAAAAATGTTGACAATTATTATTTATTGTATTAATGTGTTGTGTTAATGTGTTGAGAGTATTTAGTCTTACTCCGATTGCATGTCTGATTGTAGTCAGAACACAGAATATAGATAGGAATAAAACGGGAGAATTTGGTGTATGTAAGTGCTGCTGAATAAGGATTAATATTTAATTTATACAGTAAAGATTATGTTGCTTTACATTTGATTATTACATTTTTGTACTGTTTTCTACTGTTATACATACCTGAAAAATGTTAACCAGTTTGATTAATTTGTATCTTTGTTCTATTATGTTGTTATCAGTTGTAATTTGTTTAGTTGTTCTCATTTTAAGGGTTTTCTATTTAATAGTGTTTGAAATTTATAGCTAGGCTAGCAGTTTTTGCTTTGGTATCGAAATTGGAATCAAGAATTGTGAAAGTTGGTATCATAAATCACATGAAATACTACTACTTTAGATAAAAATCTACAGACACAAATAGATTCAAATAGATGCAGTATAATAAAGGAAACACTTAAATGTATGGTTTGGAAATGTTCTTTCTGCTAGTATAAAAAAAGATGTGTCATAGAAACAAAATTGAGTTTCTTGCCTTCAAAAAAAGGTTTTACTTTGTGGCTCTTATGTGAGTTTATTGTTACCTGTAGATTCTCACAGAACACGTGTACACATGCAGATGACCTGGAGAGTGTCTGACTTACCTGATGCCAGGTTCTTCTTTCTTTGGTACAGAAGCAGTAAGAGAAGCCATAAATGGACAACTAAAACCTTCATCCTGTTCAGGTAAGTGTGTCCAACTCAACTCACTTTACTGCCACTTCACTACATGTTTAAATAGAGCTGCTGAAATTTCTTGAGGCTACATACTGTTTTGCATCTGCATCTTGCTAAGCAGGTTTTGCTGTATAAAAGTCACTTCTCATTACACTTAAAATCTGAAAGTATGACAGGAATGCTGGAAAACAATTGTGCAACATCTAAATAATGTGCAGAATCATACAAAGATTCAAAGTTGAAAAATAACAGGACCTTCAGAAGGTTTACTGAATGAAATTAATGTTTATTAAATGAAAGACAAAAACACTGACTCACAGATAACATCCATGCACAATACATTCAGCAAAAAGACGTTAGCTAGTTTTATAAATGATAAAACAATAGATTAACTGTTGAAAATTAAAATAAGTATTCATGTTCTGTGGATGTATGGACATTCTCATAGTTAATATAATGTGCTTACTCTGCTAAGAGACATGTGAACTTGAGGAAGAAAAACCACTGTGATATTAGAGGAAAACGCCATATCTTTCAATGGTGTTATGTGTAAATCATAATATGAAATGACTACATTAGAGGTGATAAGAGATACTTCCTAGGTAAACAACACTTACACAGCAAATTATCTTGCTAAAACTGGTCTGAGTAGTTCATGAGCTATGATGTTGAGTGGGTTCATATTGACAAATGACAGGTGCTTTCAGCTAATGGGTTGCCTCGCAGCGTTTCATCTCAAGCCCAAGAACGTTCCCTAAACAGCAGGGACCGCCTGCATACCAAAGATCATAGGCAAATTAACTGATGTCAGTAATGTTTGTTACAAAAAAACAAAAAACAAACAGCTAACAACAGTGGTTCTTAAAAAGATGCATAATTTTCCTCATATATTATATATGAGCAGAAAGGAGGACAGATATTAAAACAAAACATGCAATACAGCAAATGTCTTACATAAATGTATAACTATGTAACATGCACTACAAAAAAGTATTTAATAATGACTCTCTCACATATATACATGTCTGTTAATCAATTCATAATCATATTGAATTAATGGTAAATAATTTATATATACAGTATATATAAAAAAGGCTACCTCCGTCTTGTTGTGATTTTGTCATCTGTTGCTTTCCAGCTCTCTTTCTTTGCCACCTCCTCGATTGGCTTTATCATGTTATTTTTGCTTATGCTGTCAGAATTTCCATGCATGTCTGAGATCATGATCTCTGCAGAGACAGAGAGAGAGGTTTCACTGGCATCCTTAGGAATTGGATTCAGATAATATGTCAATTAAATCGATTAACAACACTTAACACGTTAGGCTGTTTATACTAAGAGCCTCCAGACCCAGGCGAAACATACCGCTACAGGCTCCTCTGTGCAGTGAGATGTCATCAATGGCAACATCTGACCGGGCTGAGCTTCCTCTACGCCCCTCAAAAATCACCTGATAGACCAATTACAGAGGTTTTTCTTTACTAAATGCCACTTTTTTGCCAAAATAATTAAGATACAGCATATACAAGTTCAAGGCTACAGCTCATATTAAACTGAAAAAAAGTTTAGGAATGTTAACTTAACTTGGAGCATTCACAGAAGATCAGAAGCAGCAGTTCTCAAGCTTTTACTGACCTGGAACTTAACATCTGGTCTTAGGTCCACCCGTGCAAGATGCCACATGTTTCCTTGGTCTTCTCTCATTCTCCACACCTCTTTGGCCACATTGCCATATTGCAGCAGGTAGACGCTCAGTCCCATGGTCCAGCTGGAGCCATACATGTGGTACCAGAACTGAAGACAATGAGGTTGAGGGTCAGCACATTCTGCACTGAGGAGACGGGCCGTGTCGCCATGGACAGCACTGTCACCCTCAATATACATATAAAACCCACCTGGAAAAGAAGTTGTGCAAAACAATTATTAATTTAATGATGCAAAATAATTCATATTATGATTTTGAAGTTAAAATGGTAGAGTGACCTGAAGATTTAGAAAATAAGACCTACTTCCTGTTGTGTGGTCCGAGGAGGGACCAGTCATTGATGTGGGGGTGGAGCCTCTGTGTCTTGTCCAATCAAAAACATCAGTCACCAACTGAGTCCAAGCACAGATGTCTCTTTCAAAATCACAGTTGATGACAGAAGCTGGAAGAAAGATGCAAATTACATTAACAGTTTCAATATTTCTATTCTGAAAACAATGGAAGATGCAACAAATAATTGAGGGAGTGTTATTTTATAGCAACAGCATTCACAACAATATGTAATCACACTGCGGTGCTGGATAGTGAACGTACAAGCTGAAGTGTTTGGAATTTCTCTACGTTGGATGGGTACAGGTTTTGTCAATGGGATTGAAGGTGGAGCCACCTGGTTTGGTAAATCTGAAACATATTTACAACTGTTAATACATAAAGTAAATAAACCTTTAAAAACAAGTTAACTTGTTTTTAAATCTGAATGATTTGACTAAGGGCCGACACAGAGTAGAAACATACCGCTACAGGCTCCTCTGTGCAGTGAGACGTCATCAATGGCAACATCTGACCGGGCTGAGCTTCCTCTACGCCCCTCAAAGATCACCTGATAGATCAATAACAGATTTTTCTATGTCTCCTAAATGTCACTGCTCAAATATTTGTAGTTATAGTGTATTGCATTTAATTTAACATATAAAGCATTCCAAGAAGATTCACTGACCTGGAACTTGACATCTGGTCTCAGGTCCACCCGTGCAAGATGCCACATGTTTCCTTGGTCTTCTCTCATTCTCCACACCTCTTTGGCCACATTGCCATATTGCAGCAGGTAGACGCTCAGTCCCATGGTCCAGCTGGAGCCATACATGTGGTACCAGAACTGAAGACACTGAGGTTGAGGATCAGCACATTCTTCACTGAGGAGACGGGCCGTGTCACCATGGACAGCACTGTCACCCTCAATGTACATATAAAACCCACCTGGAAAAGAAGTTGTGCAACACATTTATATAATTTGTTAAATAACTGTTACGATTTTGATCTTAAAATTATCTAATGACTTCAAGACCTAGAAATCAAGACCTACTTCCTGTTGTGTGGTCAGAGGAGGGACCAGTCATTGATGTGGGGGTGGAGCCTCTGTGTCTTGTCCAATCAAAAACATCGGTCGCCAACTGAGTCCAAGCACAAATGTCTCTTTCAAAATCACAGTTGATGCTACAAGCTGGAGGAAAGAAGTACATTTCAGTAACGGTTTCATTAGTGTCTTCCTGAAAACAATGGAAGGCGCAGATAATTAACTGTGGGAGTGTTATGACATCATGAATCATAACAATGTAATCACACTGCGGTGGTGGATAGTGAACTTACAATCTGAAACATTTGGAATTTCTCTACGTTGGATGGGTACAGGTTTTGGCAATAGGACTGAAGGTGGTGCCACTTTGTTTGGTAAATCTAAAAAGATATTTAAGACTGTCAATACATAAAGTAAACCTCTGCAAAATGTACCAGTTGTTTTGCTGAATTAGTTGACTTTCCTATTGAAAAAAACCCCCGGCATATGCTGGTTAGGTATGTTTTGAAGCATGGTAGCTGGTTTGAGCTGGTTTAAGCTGGTCCTAAACTGGTTATGAGCTGGTTTAATCTGGTCATGTGCTGGTCCTAAGCAACTAGCTCCTGCTCAGGACCAGCTGTCATGCCTCAAAACATAACTAACCAGCATATGCTGTTTTTTTCAACAAGGTTGATTTTAAAGCATTTTGCTTTTACTAAGGGCCGTCACAGAGTAGAAACATACCGCTACAGGCTCCTCTGTGCAGTGAGACGTCATCAATGGCAACATCTGACCGGGCTGAGCTTCCTCTACGCCCCTCAAAGATCACCTGATATACCAGTAACATACATTTTTTTTAAAGTTTTTTTTATGTTTTAGTATGCTTATTATGTAACATTTACAATTCAAAGAACCAATAAGTTTTACTTTTACTGACCTGGAACTTGACATCTGGTCTCAGGTCCACCCGTGCAAGATGCCACATGTTTCCTTGGTCTTCTCTCATTCTCCACACCTCTTTGGCCACATTGCCATATTGCAGCAGGTAGATGCTCAGTCCCATGGTCCAGCTGGAGCCATACATGTGGTACCAGAACTGAAGACACTGAGGTTGAGGATCAGCACATTCTGCACTGAGGAGACGGGCCGTGTCACCATGGACAGCACTGTCACCTTCAACGTACATGTAAAACCCACCTGGGAAAGGAAACAAAGAAAAGAAAATCCTTGAGTAGAGAAATTGTCATAGAATTTGTGCAACACTACTATTAATTTGGTGGTTACAAAATTTTCTATAATTTTTATGCTGAAGATCTAGAAAATAAGACCTACTTCCTGTTGTGTGGTCAGAGGAGGGACCAGTCATTGATGTGGGGGTGGAGCCTCTGTTTCTTGTCCAATCAAAAACATCTGTCGCCAACTGAGTCCAAGTACAAATGTCTCTTTCAAAATCACAGTTGATGCCACAAGCTGGAAGAAAGAAGCAAATTTCTTTAATTTACAATTGAATTACATATGCAGGTACTTGACAGAGCTGTTTTGTGTCTTTCTGAAAACAAAGGAAGATGCAGAGATTTAATTGTGGGTGTTATTTTATGGCATCATCAATCATAACAGAGTGTGATCACACTGTGTTGTTCGATAGTAAGCTTACAAGCTGAAGTATTTGGTATTTCTGCAGTTTGGATGGGTGCAGGTTGTGGCATTGTTGCAGCTGGTGGCAATGGAACTGAAGATGGAGCTACCTGGTTTGGTAAATCTGAAAAATATTTACAACTGTTTAAACATTAAGTTAAATAAACTTTTTGCAAAACATAGTAGTCATTTTGCTGAGTAAGTTGAGTTGATTTTAAAGCTGAAAGTTTTTACTAAGTGTAGAGCAGAAACATACCGCTACAGGCTCCTCTGTGCAGTGAGACGTCATCAATGGCAACATCTGACCGGTCTGAGCTTCCTCTACGCCCCTCAAAGATCACCTGATAGATCAATAACAGATTTTTCTATGTCTCCTAAATGTCACTGCTCAAATATTTGTAGTTATAGTGTATTGCATTTAATTTAACATATAAAGCATTCCAAGAAGATTCACTGACCTGGAACTTAACATCTGGTCTCAGGTCCACCCGTGCACGATGCCACATGTTTCCTTGGTCTTCTCTCATTCTCCACACCTCTTTGGCCACATTGCCATATTGCAGCAGGTAGACGCTCAGTCCCATGGTCCAGCTGGAGCCATACATGTGGTACCAGAACTGAAGACACTGAGGTTGAGGGTCAGCACATTCTTCGCTGAGGAGACGGGCCGTGTCGCCATGGACAGCACTGTCACCCTCAATGTACATATAAAACCCACCTGGAAAAGAAGTTGTGCAACACATTTATATAATTTGTTAAATAACTGTTACGATTTTGATCTTAAAATTATCTAATGACTTCAAGACCTAGAAATCAAGACCTACTTCCTGTTGTGTGGTCAGAGGAGGGACCAGTCATTGATGTGGGGGTGGAGCCTCTGTGTCTTGTCCAATCAAAAACATCGGTCGCCAACTGAGTCCAAGCACAAATGTCTCTTTCAAAATCACAGTTGATGCTACAAGCTGGAGGAAAGAAGTACATTTCAGTAACGGTTTCATTAGTGTCTTCCTGAAAACAATGGAAGGCGCAGATAATTAACTGTGGGAGTGTTATGACATCATGAATCATAAAAATGTAATCACACTGCGGTGGTGGATAGTGAACTTACAATCTGAAACATTTGGAATTTCTCTACGTTGGATGGGTACAGGTTTTGGCAATAGGACTGAAGGTGGTGCCACTTTGTTTGGTAAATCTAAAAAGATATTTAAGACTGTTAATACATAAAGTAAACCTTTGCAAAATGTACCAGTTGTTTTGCTGAATTAGTTGACTTTCCTATTGAAAAAAAAACAGCATATGCTGGTTAGGTATGTTTTGAAGCATGGTAGCTGGTTTGAGCTAGTTTAAGCTCCCTGCTGAAAAAAACAGAATATGCTGGTTAGGTATGTATTGACGCTGGGATGCTGGTTTAAGCTGGTCCTTTGCTGGTTTATGCTGGTCCTTTGCTGGTTTAAACTGGTCCTTTGCTGGTTTAAAAACCTTTGCAAAATGTACCAGTTGTTTTGCTGAATTAGTTGACTTTCCTATTGAAAAAAAAACAGCATATGCTGGTTAGGTATGTTTTGAAGCATGGTAGCTGGTTTGAGCTAGTTTAAGCTCCCTGCTGAAAAAAACAGCATATGCTGGTTAGGTATGTATTGACGCTGGGATGCTGGTTTAAGCTGGTCCTTTGCTGGTTTATGCTGGTTCTTTGCTGGTTTATGCTGGTCCTTTGCTGGTTTATGCTGGTCCTTTGCTGGTTTAAACTGGTCCTTTGCTGGTTTAAGCTGGTCCTTTGCTGGTTTATGCTGGTCCTTTTGCTGGTTTATGCTGGTCCTTTGCTGGTTTATGCTGGTCCTTTGCTGGTTTAAACAAAGGACCAGCTTAAACCAGCATCCCAGCGTCAAAACATACCTAACCAGCATATGCTGTTTTTTTCAACAGGGTTGATTTTAAAGCATTTTGTTTTTACTAAGGGCCGTCACAGAGTAGAAACATACCACTACAGGATCCTCTGTGCAGTGAGACGTCATCAATGGCAACATCTGACCGGGCTGAGCTTCCTCTACGCCCCTCAAAGATCACCTGATATACCAGTAACATTAATTTTTTTAAAAAGTTTTTTTAATGTTTTAGTATGCTTAGTATGTAACATGTACAATTCAAAGAACCAATAAGTTTTACTTTTACTGACCTGGAACTTGACATCTGGTCTCAGGTCCACCCGTGCAAGATGCCACATGTTTCCTTGGTCTTCTCTCATTCTCCACACCTCTTTGGCCACATTGCCATATTGCAGCAGGTAGATGCTCAGTCCCATGGTCCAGCTGGAGCCATACATGTGGTACCAGAACTGAAGACACTGAGGTTGAGGGTCAGCACATTCTTCACTGAGGAGACGGGCCGTGTCGCCATGGACAGCACTGTCACCCTCAATGTACATATAAAACCCCCCTGGAAAAGAAGTTGTGCAACACACATATATAATTTGTTAAATAACTGTTACGATTTTGATCTTAAAATTATCTAATGACTTCAAGACCTAGAAATCAAGACCTACTTCCTGTTGTGTGGTCAGAGGAGGGACCAGTCATTGATGTGGGGGTGGAGCCTCTGTGTCTTGTCCAATCAAAAACATCGGTCGCCAACTGAGTCCAAGCACAAATGTCTCTTTCAAAATCACAGTTGATGCTACAAGCTGGAGGAAAGAAGTACATTTCAGTAACGGCTTCATTAGTGTCTTCTTGAAAACAATAGAAGGCGCAGATAATTAACTGTGGGAGTGTTATGACATCATGAATCATAACAATGTAATCACACTGCGGTGGTGGATAGTGACTTACAATCTGAAGCATTTGGAATTTCTCTACGTTGGATGGGTACAGGTTTTGGCAATGGGACTGAAGGTGGAGCCACCTTGTTTGGTAAATCTGAAAGATATTTACGACTGTTAATACATAAAGTTAAATAAACTTTTTACAAAACATAGTAGTCATTTTGCTGAGTAAGTAGAGTTGATTTTAAAGCTGAATGTTTTTACTAAGCGCAGAGTAGAAACATACCGCTACAGGCTCCTCTGTGCAGTAAGATGTCATCAATGGCAACATCTGACCGGGCTGAGCTTCCTCTACGCCCCTCAAAGATCACCTGATAGATCAATAACAGATTTTTCTATGCCTCCTAAATACCACTGCTCAAATATATCTAGTCATAGTTTATTGCATTTAATTTAACATATAAAGCATTCCAAGAATATTCACTGACCTGGAACTTGACATCTGGTCTCAGGTCCACCCGTGCAAGATGCCACATGTTTCCTTGGTCTTCTTTCATTCTCCACACCTCTTTGGCCACATTGCCATATTGCAGCTTGTAGACGCTCAGTACCATGGTCCAGCTGGAGCCATACATGTGGTACCAGAACTGAAGACACTGAGGTTGAGGATCAGCACATTCTGCACTGAGGAGACGGGCCGTGTCGCCATGGAGAGCACTGTCACCCTCAATGTACATATAAAACCCACCTGCAAAATAAATTGTCAACTCACCTATTAATTTATTCATGTAAAATAATTATGATTTTACACTTAATAGATAATGATAGAATGACTTAGATCTGTAAATGAAGACCTACTTCCTGTTGTGTGGTCAGAGGAGGGACCAGTCATTGATGTGGGGGTGGAGCCTCTGTGTCTTGTCCAATCAAAAACATCAGTCGCCAACTGAGTCCAAGTGCAAATGTCTCTTTCAAAATCACAGTTGATGCCACAAGCTGGAGGAAAGAAGCAAATTACATTAACAGTTTCAATATTCTTATTCTGAAAACAAAGGAAGATGCAGATAATTAGTTGTGAGAGTGTTATTTTATGGCATCATCAGTCATAACAGAATGTAATCACACTGCGGTGGTGGATAGTGAACTTACAAGCTGAAGCGTTTGGAATTTCTCTACGTTGGATTGGTGCAGCTGGTGGCAATGGGACTGAAGGTGGAGCCACCTGGATTGGTAAATCTGAAAGATATTTACAACTGTTAACACATTAAGTTAAGAACCCTTATGCAAAACTAAGAAGTCATTCTGCTGAGTAAGTTGGCCATTTTTAAAGCTGAATGTTTTTACTAAGGGAAGAGTAGAAACATACCGATACAGGCTCCTCTGTGCAGTGAGACGTCATCAATGGCAACATCTGACCGGGCTGAGCTTCCTCTACGCCCCTCAAAGATCACCTGATAGAACAATAACAGAGATTTGTTTTATTTTTAAATAAAACTGATTAAACATTTTTGGCAAAATATAATTAAATTAATAGTACACAGAAAAAGTTAAAGCCTGCACCTCATATTAAACGGATAAAAAGGATTTTATGTTTACTTTACCATGGAGCATTCAAAGAAGATTTGATACATAAGTTTTCAAACTTTTACTGACCTGGAACTTAACATCTGGTCTCAGGTCCACCCGTGCAAGATGCCACATGTTTCCTTGGTCTTCTCTCATTCTCCACACCTCTTTTGCCACATTGCCATATTGCCGCAGGAAGACGCTCAGTCCCATGGTCCAGCTGGAGCCATAAATGTGATACCAGAACTGAAGACATTGAGGTTGAGGGTCAGCACATTCTGCACTGAGTAGACGGGCCGTATCGCCATGGACAGCACTGTCACCCTCAATGTACATATAAAACCCACCTGGACCAGGAAAAGGAGACATTTGATTAGGAAAACGGTCAAAAACTTGACCAATATGTGAAATAATATGTGAAATGAACCTACTTCCTGTTGTGTGGTCAGAGGAGGGACCAGTCATTGATGTGGGGGTGGAGCCTTTGTGTCTTGTCCAATCAAAAACATCAGTCACCATTTGAGTCCAACTGCAGATGTCACTTTCAAAATCGCAGTTCATCCTGCAATCTGACAAAACAAGGTAACCATATAATCATCATGCCAAGCAGTTAACCATACTCTGATCCATCAAGATGATGCATGTGACCGTGTTTTTAAACATCAAAACTATAAAGTGATGTCTGATATCTCACAAATCCATGTTACTTTTAATTTTCTCTCGTTTTGTGTGTAACTCCCACTTTTCACAATCCATCCACTTTACATTTATATTCACAAGACACCTTTATGTTTTAATTGCTTTGAAGGTATATTGTACATTTGATCAGTTCATGCATTCCATAAGAATCAAACTCATGTCCTCTGTACACTTACAAGAACAATTACCTATGAATAATGTGTTAATATCTTATCTTACATCACATTAACATTAATATTATTATTAGACGTCTTACTTGGATGGGGGTCCTTTAAGTTTGGAGTAGATGGATGGGGTACCAGAGTGGTCAAGTCCAAATCTTCTGCAGACAAATCTGCCAATGTTTTGAGATAAAATTAATTGGAGCTTGCTTTAATATTATAATTGAAATATACAAAATGTACATTTTTTTATAAATAAATATCCAGTTAACAACAGCATTTCTGAAGTAGAGTCTGAAGTAGTGTAGTATTTTTTAAGAAACCCCATTAAGAAGCCATTGATCATGCCACAAAAAAGCTTCAAACTGTTTTTAAAGATCTGTCTGTAATAGATTAATATCTACAACACTTACGGTCACATGCACCATGCATTATGGACACATCATCTATGGATACATCTGAGAGAGGATTTGAGCCCCTGATGCCTTCAATGATGATCTGAAACAACAAACAATCACTTATCATATTTAACATATCTGCCTAGAGCACATCATCTTTTGTCCTCTGAATTCATTGACATCAACGCACTCTACTTGGGATGTGCACACAGAGTAACATACCTGGAATGGCTGTTGTGGTTTGATTTCAACCTGGCCTTGGTACCATCTGTTGCCCTGGTTGTTAGTTCTAGACCATATTTTTAAGGCATGATTGTTCTCAACTATGTAGAGGTTGAGTAACATAGCATTTGCCAGGCCATACATGTGAAACCAGAAGCTCAAACACTGCTTGCCAGAAGTGTGGCAGACGGGGCTCATTATTCGGGCTGAGTCGCCATAAAACACACTATCCCCCTCAATATACATGTAATAGCCACCTATATAAAACAGTCAGAGAGTCAGAGAGGTGAATAGGGCAGTCAACACAGAGTTTTCCCCAATTGCCATCAAAATCCCATAGTCTACTTCAGATTGTATAAACCAATTTGCACAGAAAACCTACTTCCTGTGGTGTGGTCACCGGCTGGCCCAGTGAAGTTTGATGGCGTTGACCCTGACCATCTGGTCCAATCAAAACTGTCTTGGATAAGTTGTTCCCAGTCACATTCATCCTGGTCAAAGTTACAGCTCCATGGGCAACCTGTGTAATGACAAAAGAATTAAAATAAATATAGAAAAAAGAAGAAAGACAGATAGATAGAAGAAATACTGCTTACTTGCTGCAGATGGAGTTGGTGTGGGGTCATCTGTTGGCAGTGGATCGGCAACTGTATGGAAAAAGAATTTTTTTTTTCCATTTAATATACTGAAAAAAAACCATCAATGAAAATGATTTATTAATTATTTGAATAGGACAAACATTTGAATAAGACAAATCTGAAGTTAGCATATTTATGATCATTTTTTTACTAATCACTTACAACACAAGGTGTGATTCCTCCAGTCTGGCAGAAACACCTCAGCTATTTCACAAGCAGACACATAGTCCTCCAAAGAGGTGCAGAGCTGAGCTTTGTCACCCTTGGAAATACAGTAATCAGAAACACAGCTGCTGACATAAATCTGTGGTGGAACAAACCAGTGGCACGCTTTGAAAGCATCTTCAAACAGTTCACTGCACTTTGTATATGCATCGTCCTCCAGGTCTGGAAGACACTCAGGGGGGTCTGGAGAGCCATTACTGCAACTGGAAAAAAGGTATAAAAAACTGAATATTATGTCTTTATTTGATATTACAATGTTGCTTTTTATCACAGAAAATTAAAAAACAAAACAAAACAAAGTACTTAATTTTAATAGTGTGCCAAAGCTTTTTGCCCCTTTGTATTTCACATTCCTTGATTCAGTTAGGCTGCTGCTACTTTCCCATTTCCCATAACACTGGATCGGCGAGTCAGTGAGTCGCTTCGTGAACTGAATCATTCGAACCATTTTTGTGAAAAGAATCAGCAATTGAAAAGATCCGACTGAAAAAAGAATGACTCGTTCACGAAGCGGCTTGCGAACTCTCATAAACACGCCAAGAAGAAGAGCAAGAGTAGATGTCATTTGTAGAGAGTAACAACATCACTTTCAGTCTGCTCATCTTACAGAACTGTCAACACGACTTTTATGTTTCGTTTATTTCAATTTGGTGTCTGAGTTGAGTAATAATCCTTTAAATCACTGAGGTGCAACATCTGTCAGTATCATTGCACAATATCAGTTTGTTTGTCTATCTTTATTAATTCAGATTTATATTTTAGGAATCAATATCATTTTTGTGAGGATTCCAAACTCTTACGGCCAATCGCCGTCGTCGGTATTCCAGCTGCTGGCGAACTCGTGCGGATTCGCTACTGTGTTGCCGTCGGGTGTCAGAAAGTCGTCAAACTGACTCCCGGAGTAGGTACCGCACAGGCCGCACAATACTCCTCTGTAGCGTTCATCCACCTGGACGAACAGCCTGGCGTTTCCAAACAGCAGCCTCAGACCGAAGTTTGTATTAACCTGAGCGTAGGGTCCCGACTGAAACACAGACACAGAGGAACCAAACTCCGCAGGGAGGCGAACCTGACCACCGTTTGCCTTTTGAGTGAAGAAAAACATGTGTCAAGGTAAGGAACTTTTTGAGTATACAGTATGTCATCAAACCTTTCGAGGAAATGAGGCCTAGATTAGGACCGTTACGATTTACATTTATTTACAGTACATATATATTTTTATTGATTATCTTATGTTCAGTAATTAATCGGCATTCATTTAGGCAGATATTTTAAATTTTTTATGTGCTTTTGTCTATCTATTTATCTATCTGCATACTTAAATTGCCTGTATTTTAAATTCAGTTTACTGTAACTACTATTACTACTATTTATACTATAATACTTCAGTTTTTGTTTCCCTATGCAGCTTTTTTAATGACTTTTGTATTACAATAATGATATTTTGAGGTAAATGTCTTAAAATGTATGTAACTATGGAAAACCTTCAATGGTCCTACAATAAGCTATAAGCAAAATATAATGTCTTATTTTTTTTCTTTACATTTTTACATTGAGATAGTGTCTGGTTTTGAAAGAGTTTTTGTGAGGTTCAGGTTTTGAGACTGGGGAAAGGAGGTATACGAAATGTACTATGATAGCCATAGATTCTGCCAAAATATGATTCATCCTGTTACTAACATGATATCATGATACAGGTGCATCTCAATAAATTAGAATGTCGTGGAAAAGTTCATTTATTTCAGTAATTCAACTCAAATTGTGAAACTCGTGTATTAAATAAATTCAATGCACACAGACTGAAGTAGTTTAAGTCTTTGGTTCTTTTAATTGTGAT